CCAATTCTACCATCAGAAAATCACCATACCGCGGTCGGAGAGCGGCAATGACGTGCGCACGTTTACCTTCTACCTGTCCAACGTGGGGAGGGACAACCCCCAGGGCAGCTTCGACTGCATCCAGCAGTATGTCAGCAGGTGAGTGCGGCTGTCACAGAGGAGGAGGAGGAGGGTTCAGCTCCAGCCCAGGCTCCCGAAAAGCCACAGGGATAACCCTGTCCTCACATTCCACTGCTTCGGTTTGTGGGGCGGGGGCATGAACCCCCTAAAGAAGTAGTGGGTTTTAAGTTGTCATTGGGATTTTACGATGAAATGGTCACGTGTTCGTTTTTGGCGTTTTTGACATTTTGCAGTGCATGTCTTTTAAGACGCAGCACTCCCTTAGAAGGTATAATAGTCCAATAGTTTCATGTCGTAGGACATGAAGAACTCTGTGTTCAGCGCAGGTTGTGGACAGCTGAGGGCTTCATTCACATCGAACTGCTAAAACTGTGGCGGCCTGAGGCAGTTTTAGTGGCTGTGAATCTTGTGGATTTTGAGTACGTGTGACAGCGTCAACAGAGTGCCCAAAAAACAGCGAAAGCAGATCACATTCCCTTCTGTTGGATTCATGAGATGGTATGGCTTTGACTGGCAGGAAACGGAGGAAGTCCCTGTTCTTGGGTTTCTTTTCCAAAATACATGGAATGAACATTGTTTTGCAGTTATTGTGTGGTACTGAACTTTTCCTCTCTAAAAACACGACTTATCTTTTATTCTTGGGTGCCTTGAATCCCATCTTTGCACCTTTATGCTTTCCGGCCTTAGACAGCTTTATAGTGTTGTCTGTAAAAGGATAGCCTCATAAATGTTATTCATATGTAGAAACAGGCCGTCAGATGGTGCGATCGATCTCAAAAGACTGGGCTGATTCCCAGAAACCGTTTCCCCCCAAAATGAAGGATAATCGGAGCAGCATTTAACCTGCAGCTCATTCATTCTTTCAGAAAGTCATCGTATCTTGATACCAAGATGAAAGTAGGTGGTCGGGGAGTGAGCAGAAGGCAGGAGATGATTAATTCGCCTCACGGCGAAGCTTGCACAAACTACAGAATAAATGAACCACACAAAACAGTCAGGGGAAAATGTTTTTAAACTGAAATGTTTATGAAATGAGCAAAGCAGGACTACTTTGGGAATTTATGGCTGAATAATTAGTACAATCTGCACATGGTCTCTGTGTTGTGCTGCAAAGACGATTCATGCTTTCACTTGTTTCTGAGGGAGGGGAAGATTTCCATATTGATTTTCACAGAATAAAGCTATTAAAGTATTTTTTTTTAAATGATGACGATCTCTTTTTGGTAAGAAATGGGGGGGAAAAAAGGCTCATCCACATATGTTACTGACTTCAGGGGCCTTGTAAGCTGAGATAGTAGCGGCCAGATTGATCGAACGGTTCTTCTATTCACACATTTAACATTCCCTCATGTTCAGAAGCAGCTGTTGGAAGGACACCTGCAGTCCGGTATGTAAAACCTAGTTTAGGGACCTTGAGGACTGGATTTCTCGCCACACCAGGTTTAAAAAAGCAAAACTTTCAAAATCCTGAAAGTGGCAGTCAGGAGTACTTACTGATTGAGGTTTTTTTTTTCTCCCTATTTCCTCCAAACTCTTAGCGATGGAAGTTTCCAGCTAGACTGCCTGGGCGGGATACAGGATAAGATCACGGTCTGCGCCACCGACGACTCCTACCAGAAGGCCAAGCAAAGCATGGCCCAAGTGGAGGAGGAGACGCGCAGCAGGAGTGCCATAGTCATCAAGCCTGGCGGCAGGTTCATGGGTAAGGACTGGACGAGGGAGTGGGGGCGTTTTCTAGCACCGCTGTTCCTCAAGTGAATCCTTCACAGTGCCGAGGGCCAGTTCTGTTCCTCGGGGGTCCAATCCAAGCCCTCTTTCAATTTTAATTTCCTGCAATATTGTGATCCGGTTATTTTTTTAACCTAAAATGGCTGGAGGCGACAGCCCCTGCAGGAGGTGATGCGGTCCTTGTGTGGAGAGTGTGGGGCCGGTAAGCGGTGCATTTTTGAGGTCTTTGGTGGGGTTGTGGCAACGAATGTCTGTGAAGTATGATGAGTCACACGTGTAACACGCGTGTCCAGGCCATCCCTGGATCATGTTCCAGCGGTGCGATACATGTATGATACAAGGCGCTCTGTTCTTCGGACTTTCAGGGAACAGGGATTGGGTGAACTCCAGGTTTCTTTCTCACCCTCTCATAGCAGTGCACCTCCCTGAGTGCCAAACATCCCCCCCCCCGCAATAATTATTAGCTGGTATCACTCAAGCACCGATGCAGAAGAAAACAAGTTTGGCACAACATTTTTTTTTCTCCTTCCAGTTCTTCATTAAAACCTATTGATGAGAAATTTACAAATCAAGAGGGTCAATATTGCGCGACCTGTCCTGCTCCCCGAGGGACCTAGGTGAAGCTCTCTGCTAAAACAACCTTGACATTTCTTTGCACAAAAAGACGTGCAAAACTTGCTTTGTGCAGTCACTGTTCAGCACCTGAACACGAGTGACAGACGGCGCATAAGGTTGAATGTGGTGAGGCCAGTCCCAGTCAGCCCCTCCCATTATATAGTAGCATGCCAGTATGGGTTAACACTGCTGTCGTTTGGGCTGGATTCCAGTAGGGGTGTCCCCTGTTCTTGTACCCAATGCCCAGTGTTTCTTTTTTAGGGATCTTTTCTTCAGGGAAGACAATAGGAAGCTGGTGAAGCATTTCTGGACTTAATCAGGCATCTAACCAGAACCTGCTATTAAAGCTGATAAGGGTTGCTTACTCCCTGCTGACACGAGCTATCGCTTTTTCTCTCCCCACCTCCCTTCCCAGCTGCCTCCCTGTCGGTCACAGCCTGAGCTGCTGAGCTGGGTCTGGCCTCCCACAGAGGGGTGGAGGTGGGGGATAAGGTTAACGGGGGGGGGGCTAGACCTACTGCCGCTGATCCTGTTTCCCCCCCCCCCCAGACTTGTTGTGTTGAAAGTTTAGCTGAAGCTGGGGGGCGGGGGCTCCCGAGTGTCTTGGGTTTTCCAAGTTACTTGTTCAGGAAGCAGGCTGAGCCCTGTGGGCCCCGATGTCTCGGGTTCGAGTCGGCCTCTAGCTGACTGACCTGCGTTCCCCGGGCAGCTCACCGTGGGCGGATGGCTTCGTGGAAGAGCTGGGATCACTTACCAGTGCTTTCTCAGGTTTCCTTTAGGCAGCGGCTGATATGCATGCAGGCTCAAAAGCACGGTGAATACCGCTATTAAGATCTTTTAGACTTAATTGCACTGTAGTTTAACATAACACTAGCAGATGAAACTTGGTAGTCTTATTATTTGTTGGGGGGGGAGGAGTCTGTCTTTACAACATGTAATACATAAAGAAATTCAACATGCCTTTGAATGTCTTGTCAATCATTCTGAATTCCCTTTGGTTACCTTTTTTTTGTTTTTAGAAATATCAGGAACTTTGTTGTTGGTTGGTGGCTGTAAATATACCTTAGAGGGCCATTGTCCTGCATGAGACTTCTCAACATTAGCCCAGGGGGAATGCTTAAATGCCTGTTTTATTGTGAAATAGCTCATTCCACATGGCCTCTGTATTGTTTTAATTTGCAGGATCAGGCAGATGGGAAGAAATTAGTCAGTGTAAGTCTGGGCGCATGGCTCCTGGTGTTGTGCCGTATGACGGGAAGGCTTTTGTGAAAAGGGGGAAGTTTGCAGCCGCAGTTCTGTTTCAGCAACGTTGTCTGTGACTCAGCAGCTTCTCTAGGGCAGAGGGAGCTAGAGACTTGGCAGCAGATGCTTGTCACCACGGAAGTGGCCTGCTTTCCGGTTTTAAAGAGCATATCCTCCTGCAAGTTAGTTTCTTTTGTTTCGTAAGCATGTCTTTGTCAACAAGGCCTCCACTCAGAGCCTGCTTTGATTTTTTTTTTTGTTTTGCCTGTCCCACTAAGAGGGACCCTAGAAGTCCCTCTGTAAGTCCAGCTCAGAATGACCGTGATCTTCAGCTTGTTTTGAAGTATTTAAAAGAAAAGTGTGTATGTATATAACATTTCTTTCATTGGATGTTGGATCTTATGAAATAAAAATAATTCATTGAAGTTTACTTTAAGCCTAGACCAAAAGCATGACCTTTTAACCCCATATACCATTCATGAGATGAATGCCAAAACTGCGAAAGGTTATGATATTAACTTTACAGTACATCTCATCACACCTGTTACCGTGTCAGAATACCGTGCGATTCTCCTTAATCGCAGAAGAGATAAGGTCTGGCCACTGTGATGACACCCCTCTTGCTTTGTTCTGGTTTTAAAGAATATTTAAAGAAAGAGTCAAGGGCTACACATACGTCAGCTGGTTTTCATCCTATCTGAGCCTATTTACCTGATTAAAGCCTAAATTGAACTCTAACAGGTTGCTTGATTGAGCTCTGCAATTTTTTTTCAACTCTCACGTTTGGGGTTTTGCTTATGAAATGCAGTAGTCAAACGGCAACTTCTGCTATGCCGAACAGTCTGAAAACTTTCAGATTAATCCTTTTAAGTCGAGGGTTCAGGTGTGTCACTTATTCCCTCGGAACAGAACAGCCTAAGCCTGTCAGGGAGCAAAGTACAAAGGCCTGCTGTGCTGGAATAAGCACCCCCCAAGCATGGTGGGGTTTGTCTCATTTTTCCAAAACAGTTCTGCACCAGTGTAGAATATATATCAGCCACCTGCCCACGTGCGTCAGCATCAGTGTCACCTGAATGATACACAAGGTCATGTGACCAGTATCCCATCTTTTGTGTGTGCCCGCTCCATTTTGATGCTTGGAGTTGTGAACTGTGTGTTCGGCCTCTGTTTTAGTACAGAAGGTTCAAGCACATGCAGCACATGGAGGCTTTTAAGGTTCAAGTCCTGTTACAAGTCTAAGGCTCTCGATAGCTAAAGAAAACCAGAGCCTTCCTGGTTTCTGTAAGGGAACAGAATCCTCCCTCTGGATCAGATTCTTGCCTGTTGTTGGATTACTCCTGTAGCACTGGATTAAGTGTGACCGACTGGAGTGATGTGGTTACATGCTTTCCTCTAGGGCTTGAGGTCTCTCGTCTACCCCATGCCAAGGTTTTGCCTTGTGTGGATGGTGGGTGGCACTTGTGAATTTTGTTTTTCCCCCTCCCATTTGCGCCCAGGCAAAAAAGTTCAGATCCGGAAACCAGCATCTGGCGTCACGGACATCGCCCCCTCGCGGAGGGTGTCGCGGCCGGTGATCGTGGCCAGCGCCATGAAGAAGGGCAGCAGCGCGGCCCAGCAGAGGCCCCTGCGGGAGCGCGTGGTGCACTTCCTCGCGCTGAAGCCCTACAGGAAGCCGGAGCTCATCCTGCGCCTGCAGAAGGACGGGCTCTCGCCGCAGGACAAGGACTCCCTGGACAGCCTCCTGCAACAGGTGCAGTCGCGCGGCTCTCCGGGGACAAAAACGGCAGGATCCCCTGACACAATCCAGAAGTAACATGCCGGTTTCCTGTGAGAACTTTTGCAACCTTAACATGTTCATCTGACAGGGTATCATCATCTTGTGGCCCTCAGTCTCGGTCCAGTCCATTGGGATCGCAGTGGGAAAGGTTGAC